ATGCACAAGCAGCAGAAAATAAATAAGATGACTTGGCATCTCCTAAAAATTAGACACTTATATGTATCTAAAGACTTTACGAAAAGAATAAAAAGATAACCTACACACTGGGCAAACTTTTTTGGAAATGACATATCTGACAAGGAACTAATTTCTAAAATTATGGGAAACGTCAATACCTCAACAACAAAAAGACAAAAAATTCATTTAACAAATGGTCAAAGGACATGAGCAGACACTTCACCAAAGAAAACATCCAGGTAGCCATCAAATTCATGAAGAAATGCCTGCAATCATTAGCCATTGGTGGTGGTGGTGGTGGTTTTATGCAGTGGAGTAGGTTCCAACTCATAGTGACCCTGTATAGGGTTTCCGAAGCTGTAAATCTTTACAGGAGCAGAAAGCCTCACCTTTCACCTACGGAGCCTCTTGTAGCCATTAAAGAGATGCAAATATGCACAAAAATGATATACCATCACACCCCAGCATTAATAGCAAAGTTCAAAAAACAGCAAAACTATAAATGCTGGCTTGGGTGTGGAGAAACTGTAACCTTCATAAATTGCTGATTGGACTGTAAAATGGTGAAACCACTGTAGAAAACAGAACGGTGCTTCCTTAAAAAGTTGGAAATAGAAAAACTATATGATCTATCAATCCCACAATTAGAATTATGCCCTAGAGAAATAATAGCCATAACATGAACAGATATATTCACATCCATGCTCATAGCAACATTAGTCACCAAAAAAGTTGAAAACAACTTAAATGTCTATCAAAAGATGAATGGATAAACCAACCATGATACATACACTCAGTGAATACTATGCAACATTAAAAAATAATGCTAAAGATAGAGTCCCCCCTGAATAGTTTTCATCTTGTCTAGATAGGTCTGGTAAAATGAGATGGGGACAAGATTCTTATGATTCAATAGTGAGTAATGGTTATCATGACTAATTGCGACTGTCACAATTGTAAAGATAGAAGTTTTGTAACAAAAACAGGGGAGTGGTTAATCTTACAGTCCAGAAACTAGGGACCCTAGGACCATCAAGGGAGAAGAGCACAAGCAGAATGCGGGACCCTATCTAGAGAAGCATCGACACCAGAGATGGAGGCAGAGATGGGGACATGGAGAGGGAGCAGCTGAGGACTCTAGATTCATGGGAAGAGAGGGACTGAGAGATGGCAGCCAGGAAGCAGACTTGCAGAATGTGCCCTTTGGTGGTGTAAATTATTATATATCCCTAAGGTGTTTTTTGTTTTTTTTAAAAGAGCTAAAATGAATAGAAAGAAATACTGTTAACTGATGGTACATGGAGGGGATTATAATCATTGTAATGAAACAAAGTATATTATTTGTTAAATGTAAAACTGATGATCTGCCCTGCAAACTTTCACTCAATTTACAATAAAAACTTGAAAAGGAAGAGGTAAGGAAGAGCATGAGCAGAACCGGGCAGCCAAAGCAGAGAAGCAGGGACACCAGAGATGGAGGCAGAGACGATGACAAGGAGAAACAGATCAGCTGAGTACTCTAGACTTTTGGAAAGAGAAAGGCTGTGAGCTGGCAGGTTTGTAAAACACATATATTCCTGTGTGTTTTTTGTGTACATCAAAAAAGGGGGCTTCAGAATTATAAAACAATACACATTGGTTGCGTACAAAACTGATGATCTGTCATGTAGACTATCACTCATTTGACAATAAAAGCTTAAAAAAATAATAATGCTAAAAACTTCATAACATGGGTGACATTGCAGAACATTATACTGAGTAAAATTGTGGTTCTGTGCTGATAGGGCCATCGAGTCAGTTCCAACCCATAGTGACTCTGTACAGGATCTCCAAGGAGTGACTGATGAGTTTAAACTGCCAATTTTTCGGTTACCAGTCCAGTGCTTACTACAGCACTATACTAGTCAATCACAAAAGGACAGACAGGCGGAACTGCGCGGGTCAAAGCAAGGCTGTGAGTCGGTGGTTCTATATGGTGGCAGCCGTGGGAACGGGGTCCTCGGGAACGGCCCCGGCAACGTGAGCTTGGCCTAGCCCATGGCGCTTTTCCCGGCGAGTGGAAACTAGCGGGTCCTGCAGCGGCATCGCAGGCAGGAGCTGCTGCGCACCGGCTTAAATATGTCGGAAACGGGTGAGGAGCAACCCATGGAGACATCTGCCAAGACCCAGAACAGACTTGAGGCCGCCCCCGAAGGCGAATCGCCAGCAGGGTCTGCCACTGCCACTGCCACCACAATCACGACTGGGACCAGCGCCTTGACCGCGGGTCTCCCGACCGGAAATCAAAATGGCGCCAAAGGAGACCACATCATGGATTTATCCTCTTCAAAGATGCTACCAGTGTGGAGAAGGTTCTAGACCAGAAGGAGCATAGGCTGGATGGCTGTGCCATTGACCCGAAAAAGGCCATGGTCATGAAGAAGGCCAGTGAAGAAAAACTTTGCTGGGGGTCTGAATCCTGAAGCCACTGAGGTATTGTAAGGTATTTCACACATGTCCTGATTTTGCCACGACCTGAATATTGAAGCTATCCAAGCTTTTGAAGTAAAAATTTAAACCCCCGTCCAAAAAAAGGACAGACATTGTTTTAAACCACTACTATAAAAAGTCAAGAAAAGTTGTACTCACAGAAAGAAACATTCTTTAAAGTTTAAAGGATGTAGGAGGGTAAGGGAGAGTAAGTCACTAGCTAGAAGTTGACACTTATTAACTTGAATGAAGGGCAAGGCACCATACAAAAAGGAAGTGGTCACAACAAATGATCAAGGCAAAGAAGGCATTAGAAGGCGCACCAAGCACGTTAAAGGCAGCAAAGGTAAATACTCTGGCACACACAATCTGGAAATAACAGTAATAATAATGATTTTTATGAGTAGATACAGATGGACACACAAATTGAGCAGGTGTGGAAAGATGAATGGAACTACACCCACAAATATATAAAAGTATGACAGAGGCTATTTCTACATATGTATCTACACATGCTACAAATATATCCAAGAATACAGTAGAGCATGGTGTTGCTGTTAGGTGACATTCTGTTGGTTCTGACTCATGGAAACCTCATGTCCAGTAAAGCAAAATACTGCCCAGTCCTGCACTGTCCTCACAATTGTTGCTATGTCTGAACCCATTGTTGCAAGCACTGAGTCAGCCCATTTTGTTGTGAATCTTCCTCTTTTTTGCTGACCCTCTATTTTACCAAGCATGATGTCCTTCTCTAGGGACTGGTCTCTCCTGAGAACATGCCCAAAGTACATGAGGCAAACTCTCACCATCCTTGTTCCTAAGGCACATTCTGGCTATACTTCTTCCAAGATAGATCTGTTCATTGTTCTGCCAATTCATGGTATATATATTACACATTCTTCACAAACACCGTAATTTAAAAGCATCAATTCTTCTCTGGTCTTCCTTATTCATTGTCCAGCTTTCACATGCATGTGAAGTGACTGACAATATGATGGTTTGGGTGACCCACACTTTGAGAGGTCCTCAAAGTGACATTTTTGCTTTTTTAATACTTTAAAGAAGTCTTTTGAAGCAGATATATCCAATGCAATAAGTCATTTGATTTCTTGACTGCTGCTTCCATAGACATTGATTGTAGAGCCAAATAAAATAAAATCCATGACGTCACTATTTTCTCCATTTATCATGATGTTTTTGGTCCAATTGTGAGGATTTCTCTTGTCTTTATGTTAAGGTAATACAGACTGATAGCTATAGGAAGCAAAGTTATGAAAACTTCTTCGCCATAACCAACACCTTGATAGAATGAATCACTAGGCCTAGGACTCAGGACTGTTGTCTTAGGGAACATCAAGGTCAATTGGAATAACCTAGTCCACAAAGATAATGTTCTACATCCTGTTTTGGTGAGTAGAACTTGGAAAACTGGTGAGCAACTATCTAAGGTACAACTATTGACCTCTCTCTTTCTGAAGCAAAGCGGAGCAAAGAAAATCAAAGACGTATAGAAGCAATGATGAACTGTACAAACCCAGCCTCCACAATCCTGAGACCAGAAGAGCTAGATGGTGTTCAGCTACCATTCCCACCCACTATTAAAGGGATCACAATAGGAGGTACTAGAGAAAAATGGGGAACAAAACTCAAAATTATTTTTAAAAGACATGCTTATGAGTCAGACAGAGACTGGGGGAGCCTCCTAGACTAAAGGGTAACCATTATTATTGTTAGGTGTCATTGAGTTGGTTCCAACTCATAGTGACCCTGTGCACAAAAGAACAAAATACTGCCCAATCCTACGCTGTGCTCAAATTTGCGGTTGAGTCCACTGTTGCTGTCACTGCGTCAAGCCATCTCACTGGGGTCTGCCTCTTTTTTGCTGATGCTCCACTTTTCCATGCATGATGTCCTTTTCCAGGCACTAGTCCCTCCTGATAACATGTCCAACATACAAGAGACAAAATCTTCCTATTGTTGCTTCTAAGGAGCATTCTGGATGTACTTCTTCCAACATAGATTTTTTTTTTTTCTGACAGTCCATGGCACTCTCAATAATCTTTGCCAGCACCATACTTCAAATACATTGATTTTTCTACAGTATTCCTTACTCATTGTCCAACTCTCTCACATGTATATGAGTGAAAATTCCATGGCTTGGGTCCTCAAAGTGACAGCCTTGCTCTTTAACACATTAAAGAGGCCGTTTGCTGAAAATTTCCATAGTGCAATGTACCACCTGATTTATTTTCTTTATGTGTGTGTGTGGGGGGGGGGGCTCCTATTTGTTTAATTTATTTCCTTTAAAACCACCTCCTTGCAACTTTCTAAGTGAAAATACAAAACAAGAAACAGACTTTGTTTCAAATACATAAACAGTATGCTGCAATGTAAAGCAATACTGATAACATTGTTCCAGAAAAATGTCAGTTTATTCCCAGGCACTTAAAATATTCCTGAGGAATAAACATGATTTCTTTGTTCCTCCCACTGGGATTTTCCCAGGCCTGTCATTGTACTTTGACACATTTTACATGAAGAAGATACGGAGTTGGGAAATCACACTGGTAGTTGGAGTAGACCATTCCCAACCCCATACCAGAACCAAAGGCTAATGACCACCTTCTTCGTTTAAAGAAGGTAAGCGAGAAAATTATTCCTAAGGTAAAACCATTATGTATCTTTACAACTGCATCAGCCAAGTACCACTTTCTTCCAAGCTCTGAACCCAACATGCTCCCTACCTGCCGCTCCAGCTCTCCTTACAGCAGGCCCCTGCACTCTGACTCCAGACCCATCATACAACAGACAAAGTCTCTTGACTCCAGCCAAGAAACCCGATTTCTTGACTGCTGCTTCTATGAATATTGATTGTGGATCAAAACAAAATAAAGTCTTTGACAATTTCAATCTTTTCTCCATTTATCATGATGTTATTTACCTGTTCAGTTGTGGGGATTTTCATTGTCTTTTTATTGAGATGCAATCCAAATTGAAGGTTGTTGTCTTCAAGCTTCATTAGTATTTAAATCCTCTTCACTTCCAGAAAGAAAAGTTGTGTTATCTGCATATCACAGGTTGTTATAATTCGTCTTCCTTTGAACCCGATGCCATGTTCTTCATATAATCCAGTTTCTTGGATTATATGCTCAGCATACAGCATGAATAAGTATGGAGAAAGTATACAACCCTGCCATACACCTTTCCTGATTTTAAACCATCAGTATCTCCTTGTTGTGTTCTATGTACAGCTTCCTTTAGAGCACAATTAAATGTTCTGGCATACTCAGTTTTCACAGTGTTATCCATAGTTTGTCATGATCCATACAGTCAAAAGGCTCAGCATAGTCAATAAAGCCAAAGTAAGCAGCTTTCTGGTATTCTCTGCTTTCCGCCAAGATCCATGTGACATCAGCAATGATAACCCGCCTTCCATGTCCTCTTGGTGTACTGCTCAGCCATTTTTAAATTATTTTCAGCAAAATTTTACTTGGCATGTGTTGTTAAGGATATATATATATAAAGTTTTTATTGTAAATTGAGTGAAAGTTTACAGGGCAGATTATCAGTTTTACATTCAACAAATCATATACTTTGTGTCATTACAATGGTTATAATCCCCTCCATATACCATCAGTTACCAGTATTTCTCTCTATTCATTTTAGCTCTTTTTTTTTTTTTTTTTTAAGCACTCAGGCATATATAATAATTTATACCACCAAAGGGCACATTCTGCAAGTCTGCCACCATCTCTTAGTCCCTCTCTTCCCATAAATCTAGAGTCCTCAGAAGCTCACTCTCTCCATGTCCCCATCTCTGCCCCCATCTCTGGTGTCACTGCTTCTCTGGATAAGGTCCTGCATTCTGCTTGTGCTCTTGTCCCTTCATGGTCCTAGGGTCCTCTGTTTCTGGACTGTAAGATTAATTACACCCCCATTTTTGTTTTTGTTTTCTTGACCAAGTGCTCCTAGCAGCTGTTCATTTATAAAGATGTTTAGAAGGGTACCGCAAGAATGTTTATGATTAGACAATGTTTACAGAGTTGGTAGCTGATTGTACAAAAGTTTTAAAGGAGCTTAAATGCCCCTTGGGTTTAGGATGAACACAGTTAGCGAAAAGTACCAAGTATGGTAAGGGAGTTAGGAAAAAACAAAACAAAACATTGTAGTCCAGCTTCTGAGGCCAGTGGGGCAGAACATTTTCTGAGAAATGGTCAAGTGAGCAACAATTGAGTTAGATTTGCATTATTTTGAACACTGTTAAAATATGAAAACAAAGAGTTTGTTGAAAGAATGAAACAATCACTAGTGAAAATGTTAAGTATTCTTATGTTCTAGGAGAGAAAAGGGATATTAGTACTGAAAAGCTGTAAGCCTGTATCTAGTTAACATTGTTGTTGTTAAGTGCCGTCGAGTCGGTTCCGACCCATAGCGACCCTGTACAGGGTTTCCGAGGGTGTAAATCTTTACGGGAGTAGAAAGCCTCATCTTTCTCCCGCGGAGCGGCTGGTAGTTTCAAACCGCTGACCTTAAGGTTCGCAGCCCGATTTGTAACCACTACGCTACCTGGACTCCTGTTCTAACTATAAGTAAATCTCTCTGAAACTTAACCACAACTTATTCTTTATAGCACCTATGTGAGCAAAGTAAGGAAAAGGACATTTTTTATGGAACTGTTCATATTTAGGACAAAAGTACAGTGGAAACTTTTTACGGAATAGACAGGCTACATTGTATAACAGAAAAATACAAAATGGAGTCACTTAGGTAAAGAAGGGATTTAACTTAGATCTTGTTGTTGTTAGGTACCACCGAGTCAGTACCAACTCATAGCGACCCTGTGTACAACAAAAGGAAACACTGCCCGGTCTGGGGCCAATCTCACAGTTGTTGCCATGCTTGATCCCAATGATGCTGCCACTTGGCCAATCCATCTCGTTGGGGATCTTCCTCTTTTTCTCTGACCCTCCACCCTACCAAACATGATATCCTTCTCCAGTGACTGGTCCCTCCTGACAATATGTCCAAAATATGAGAGACGAAATTTGGCCATCCTGGCCTCCAAGGAGCACTCTGGCTGCACTTCTTCCAACACAAATCTATTGGTTATTTTGGCAGCTTGTGGCACTTTTAGTATTCTCTTCCAACACCATAACGTCATCATGAGCAATTAGTTTTAGAATGCTCTTTCTCACAGTTGAGTTCTAGCTTTCACAGGCTTTTCTATACAGGTTGCCCCTATTTTCTGATGGAATGCCTGTAAGATTTTTAGAGAAAAATGGGAACGGGCTGTAGAGTCCTACCCTGTGGTGACCAGACCAGGGTTTATAAAAAAAAAAAAAAAAAAGGGGGCCAGGTAGTTAGGGGCTTTTGTTCACATGACTTCGTGGAAGCAGGAGAGGTAAGTTTTGTTATCTTGTCCAGAGCAGAAAGGGAAGAGAACAGAAAGAGGGCCAAGAAGGGATTGATTGTTCAGTATTTGGGTTATACATCTATTATTCCTCCCTTTTAGTTATAGGTTGGGGAGGAGAGAATTCTTATATTACTAGGGCTTGTTATATGTGTTGTATGGTCTTTTGTTTGACCATTGGTTGATTAACATTTTTTATGAACTGAATTAGAAAGGGCCCTAAGGATAGGAGAATTATTGCAATTAGGGGGCCTAAAAGAGGAAGGAGCCAAAAAAAGAGGGGCAAAGAAAGAAAAGTTCCCAAGGTTTCAGTCTTTAGGCGATTGGCATGATCTTGGAGTTTCTGGATGCCGTCCCTTACAATGCCAGATTGGTTGATGTAATAGCATGCTTCTCCTAGGAAGGTGCATAGTTCCCCATTTTCTGTAGTGAGGAGATGGAGGCCTCTATGATTTTGGAGAACAACTGTAGATAGGAAGTATAGGTGGAGAGAGCAAGACTAGGGTGCATGTTCTGGTCCAGTTGGGGGGGTAAACAAGTAAAGGCTTTTATTCTGCATAGAAAAAATAGACCTTGACGAGGGGGTAGGCAAGAGTTCCAGTGGAAGCTAAGAAAGGGTGTTAGCTTGTCTGCATGGGTTTCCTTTCCCCAGGAAAAAAAGGTAGTGGCTAAATGTACTGTGGAATCCTGGTGTGGTGCTGTGGGTCAATGCGCCAGACTGCAAAGCTATTTGAACTGCAACATCAGCAGTTCAAGCTCACCAGCTGCTCCTCAGAAACCCTATACAGGGTTGCTATGGGTCGGAACCAACTCAACAGCACTTCACAACAACAAATATACTGCAGTTAGGGCCTTGTAGAGGTAGCGTGTTGCCTATGGTATTGTTAGGTTGTAGTCGTTCCAAGGCTATCCTCAGAGTGGGGGTGTGAAGGGATGCTCTGGAGTTGTTGGCAGGGAGAGTAGGACACACTTATTTGTGATGAATATTTGTTGTGGGCAGTAGCTAAGAAGAGGAGCATCACTGAGGTTTTCTGATCTTCCCTGGCTATAAGCTCAGTTGAATGTGTAAAGTGGGGTGAGTAACCCAAATGCCAAAGCATTTTAGGTTTTCTGCATATGATGGGTTGCCCTGTTGTGGTGGCATATGAATTCGTGTATCAGACGGTGGCAAGGATAATAGTGTGATGGTTTTAAGGTCACCACAGAGACTCCTCCCTTCGTCATAGAATGGGTAAAACATAGGGGGGCTGTGGAATGTATGTTAGTGATTGTCCCAATGGGGCTATGGATGAAAGCGTGGTTTTTCATAAAGGGTCATACCTGCTCCTTTGAATTTTCAAGGATTTTTAGCACTTGGTCTTGGAAGTTGGGCTGGCTAGGTCAGGCAAAAAGGGATTGGCCCGTGGACTATTTTAATTGGGTTAGAAACGTGGGGTTTCTACCCAACTAGGGAGGGAGAATTGGAAAGGCTTTATATGCTCAGAAGGTGACATGTATACAAATTCAGCAGGTAGATAAATTAGGACTGAAGGTTATGAAATAAAACTATCAGAAGTAGTGATGATGTCTTCATAGGTGTTTAACCACGGTGGAAGAAGAAAAAGCAGGAAAATAAAATTAAAAGCCTATTTCAGAGATTAGAAATAATGCAAGGTATCTTGTAAATTTAATTCAGATTTGAGGGCTCAATAGTAAGAAGGGAGTCAGCGGAGATCTAGATGGGGTACCATACTAGGTCATCTGCTAAGACAGGAAGTGAAGGTATTGGAGGATTAGCCTCCTGATTTCTCTTAAAGAGTGGACAGTTTAAGCAAGGTGGGTCCGTCTACTACCACAGTTACCATGGGCTACTGCATAGGTCAGTTGCCGGCGGTTGGGGGTCCATGGATTCCTGAGCCTGTCTTTGGCACTTGGTTTCTGAGGCCGAGAGGAATGAGCACCATCGAGGATCCCGCGGTAAATGGCATCTATCCAGAGCGACAAAGACTAGCCTAAGCGCTGCCCGTGAGGGGGGAGGAACGCAACTTCACACTTCGGGGTCCTTTGGGACACACTGTTGTTCCCTGGCCAGCGGCCGTCAATTGACCACCCGAGTGGGAGTGGGTCCCAGCAGCTCAGAGGAAACGTGGAAGGTTCGGGAGTGAGAAATGAAAGATTTTGAGAGAAAAGTAGGAACGCTGGAATGAAGCCCCTGACTTAGGCCTACCCTTGTGGTGACCATTCCCAGGAAAATAAAAAGACGGACAGGCACTCAACCGCACAGACAGGTACTCTACACAGGCAGAAAGCCTCCCCCCTTTTTTGTTACAAAAATTCTACCTTTAC